GTAACCCTCCCGACTCTTCAAAATCCTTCTTCTCCTTCCGCTTCAAAAACACAACCCCCCGTCCCCGTCCCTCCAACATGCCCCCCAATCGTCCCGTCCTGGACAGACTCAGCCACCTCACGGCCCGCGCACGCAAGAAGGTCCGCACCCGCGTCCCCGCCTCCTCCCCATCGTTTCCAGACAGAACCCCTTCCACTTCTCTTGCCCCCTCCGACTCTTCTCCAACTGCTGTCTCCTCCGTCCCACAAACCATAGCCACGGCCACCCCGGATGGCCTATGGGAAAGCTTGCATGTCGCCCCCGCAGCACTCGCTGCCCCTTTCTCCATCGGTGCGGCCACTACAGCAGGTGTCGAGCTTTCCGTCGACCCAGAAGCCCCAACCGCCCCAATCAGGTCCCGCAAATCAAACCAAGACTGTTTCGGAGTCACTACCACGTTTGCGGGCCTTCCCGATGCCGTTTTGGCTGCCGTTTATGACGGCCATGGCATGCAGGGGCGCGAGTGTGCCAGACTGGCCCGCGATGTTATTCCCCGCGTCATCACCAATGCCCTCACCGCTCACATGGACCGGTGTGGAGGCAGTTTGCGCCAAGCCCTGTCCTCGGAAGACCGCCGCCGTGCATATATGCGTCTGTTTTCAAAGGCCTTTAACGAGGCGGAGCGGGAGCTTTACGACGACACTCTCGAGATTCAGCATGGATATTCCGGAACCACAGCGACATGCTTATGGATTGATGGCTCAGACTTGTTTGTTGCTTGGGCAGGCGATTCCAGGGCCATCATGGGGAGGACAAACGAGGTCGGCGATGTGGAATCTGTTGACTTGACCTGGGACCAGAAACCAGTCAGGGTAGATGAGAAGAAACGAGTGCGGGCGGCTGGCGGTCGTGTGACCAGATGGAAGAAGAATGTCGGACCGCAGCGCGTTTGGTTGCCAGACGAATGGACCCCCGGTTTGGCAATGACTCGAAGCATAGGCGATACCATCCTGACGAGATACGGTGTCTTTCCAACTCCCGAGGTTACGGTCACGCGGCTATCTAAGGAGGAGTGTTTTGTGGTTGCGGCTAGTGATGGGGTGTGGGAGTTCATGTCGTCGGGGGATGTGGCTGATTTTGTTTCGAAAAAGCGGCTTGACGGATGTTGCGCGGAGACTGTTGCGAGGGATTTGGTGAACGAAGCGGTTCGGCGGTGGACGGAGAACGAAAGTGTGGTCGACGACACAACGGCCATCGTAATTATTGTGGAGAAGGACACATCGCCGTCGAAAAAGGCGAGCTTGCTGCTTGGGAGGGCGCGGGAGGACACAAGGGAATTTGAAAATCGCTCGTTGAAGGATGTGTTTCGGACAAGGAGAGTAGAAATTCCAAAAGAATCGCAAGTCGGGCAACCGTGGGGGATTGCTGAGAATGGGAAGCTAGAGCCGTTTTGCCCAGAGAACCAAGGGGCAGAATTGGGAGACGTAAATGCGGCGCCTCTGGGTTCAAAGGCAAGCGAGTTGGGGAGCGCAGGCGGTTGAGTATACGGCTAGCTGGGCGGGAAATCAGTCAGGACGATGACTGCACGTTTGGTTTTTGTCGACATGATTGGGCTGCCAGGGGATTTGCAATTTGGTGAAGTGGAATAAGCTCAAGATGGAGGGGCGTGGCACGGCAGGCTGAAGAAGGTGGGCGCCAAGACGGAACGGTGTTTCGCGGACCCGGTGAAAATGTCGGATGTGTTGTCCTATCGCTAAGAAAAGAGAGGAAGAGGACGCTGAATCGCGAGGCAGGTGTAAACTGCATATATACCAACAATGCGTCGCAAGACGGGACGTCGTCAATCACCACATTGCTGTTGGCCCGCCGCTCGGCCCAACCACATCCCTCCAAGTGCTTGCCAACAATTGGCCCTTCTATTTCTATCACTGTAATGTCCAACTGAGCCACTGTAAACCCAAATGACTGCGCCATGTTTTTAATTTGGGTCATTTTGGAGTTGGTAGTTTACACTCGCCCTTCCCCCTCACTATGTATCGAGCGGCTCGGGTACTCCACCTTCCCCTCCTGTTTCACAATCTGCGCCCCCCCACATCGCCATGTCACACCCCGCCACCCGTATCATTACCTCCCTGCGTCAGCGCGCCTCCACCGAATTCCGCGTCGTCATGGATGTCTTGTTTCCCTCCCCCTTCGGCGTGTCCCCTCCGCACGTCGCCGCCATCCCGCGCCGCGCCGATCCGACCCGCGTAAAGAACCTTCTCGCCGGCAGCCGCCACAGGTCCTCCTCATGAACAGCCGGGCACATTTCAAATCAAGGCCCAGGTGAAAGCAAGGCGAGAGAGGTCTGTGCCCGCTGGGATCCTGTCGGCGATATGCCCGTAGGGGTGGTCGGCTCTGAGGTATCGATGCCGCGCAGGCTGGAAGGGTAGCTGTATGACAGCTGAGTGGAAGACATGTCAGGTTAGAATGCTCCAGGATGGATGGTCGATGTGCGGCCAGGGGCTGGTTTCAAGCAATCAGTCACGACATGCTGTAGAAGTCTTGAGTTTGTTGGATCTTGAAGGGCTGACTGCCGTAGTGAGGATTTGTATTAAATTTGAGGCCGACCCCGAGACCACCGCATGATGAATGACTATTCGTGTCACCTCGACTATAATATCTCCTCTACTCTTTATGTCAATATTTCATGGCAATTGATACGGGTAAATGCAGCGAACAGCGTGATTTTCCATCATTCCTTTACGTACAACTCCCGTCTTCTGGAGTTGCAGGTGAAACGACGCTCCGCACTATAAAGCCACATCTCCCTGACACGGAGATACATAAATATACAACGCACAGACCAAAAATTAATATAAAAAACAGTTACGGACAAGAAAGAAACAGGTTGGCATCCATACCGCAGGGTTTACCCCGGTCTTGCTAGTTAGTCCACCTGACTATTTATTTCTGTGTTAATTTGACAAGCAGTTTGGCTCATGCGGTAAGTCGTCGTTTGGTTTTAGCCAAAAGGTATATTGCAATTGAAGTGCAGGTGAATCGCTGTCGCAACTCGTCAGTTTTGCGGTCGTTTTGCATTTTGATGAGATTCAAAGGTGGACTACAGGGTGTGCACCTTGTCATACATTGATGAACTGCATCAAAAACTATTGACAGCAGCAGCAAAGGAGCTGTTTTTATCTGAAAGTGACAAGAACATGCGGTGATGAGCGGAGTTGTAAACACTGCTTTCTATGCATGTATTAGAAAGGAATTGCGGCGCTGTAAACATTGTGAAAACAAAAAGCTGTGAAACAGTATTCCCTTCCTAAGATAGAAAGGGAGGGTTATTCAAAGCTAGCCTGGAAAGCATTTGCCAGTCGATGAAACTCAGCATCGGCCGCACATACCCGCATTCTCTTAAATGCTGTTACACCGCACTCTTCTGGCAGGCTGTCTTGCAACCTGTGCAGTATAGGTAGAGATAATGCCGTCGTTGGTTAATAAAGAGAAGGTACCAAGTTCATCAACTCGCAAATACTGCCTTGTTCTTCGAGAGTTGCTGGAGGGCTATCAGTTTCAATTGGTCAAACATGATTGTGAAATTCTAAACAAGAGCGTATGTACCTGTTACGCGAAAATACGTACTATCTTTTACAAGTACATGATTTTAGTTCAAATGCGGTTTGGGCTATGCGAAGTAGTATGTGTTGTAGATTCATGTGTTCCGGAATTCTTTCGTCTCATCGACATGGAAGGATATGAAAGAATGGAAAGATGTGAAAGTAGGAACGGGGCAAAATAGGATGGAAGGAGGGAGGCCACTCTCCAAAAGGAAAACTGTGGACCACCACATTTTACCAATTTCCCCAACTTTCGTTATATTTTAAATCCCTTTTACCCCCCACCGGCAACGTCACGAATAGCCTGCCGAAAGTATACTTGCCGTGCTGTCCGTGTGTAAGATATAAATGTCACTTTTTGGGAGAGTAGAACGGTATTTTCTGTAGACATGACTGAAGAGCAACAGTTGAAGCATGAAGGGAGAGGATGGCGAGTCTGTTTGCTGTTCATGGCAAGTCGAGCCGGTGTTAAACACATCCACATATTCCAGCAGCCGGACAAATGGCGAACAAGTAGAAGAGGATTATTGTATAGGTTACGCCAGAGTTCTGTTGATAGAGCATGAGTGTTGATGCCCCTGTTACGCATTCTTTGCGCCACTGCATAAAGCCGCAAGGATAATGGCACCCAGCACGGACCATGAAAGGCAGTACCCCTTTTTAGTAGTACCTCTTTTTAGTGGTATTTCATGGCGAGGCTAAGACTCTCGTTCTCTTAAGTTTCGTGGCTACTACTTAAGCCCCTCTTCTGACAGTAAAGCTGGGCAAGGAATCTTACCTTCACCCCACACAAAACCCAGTCACTCCACCAACAAGTGCAACAGTGATCACTGACCTCTTTTGCTCACACTCCACCTTGTTTCTGCCATCATGGCTCCTAACACAGGACCGTCGGCAGGACACCATCTATTTGTCCCCATTTCCCATCCTGTTTTACGACGCATTGGAAGCAAGGACATTCATGTCTTTATGCGAGAACGTGAAAACTATCTGTTACGCATCAACAAGGCCCAAATATCTGGCAGTACCATCCGCCCAATCTCACTAACAACATCGCTCGACCGAGATCTACTTATTTCGCTGATTGAGCAAGGAGAGTTTGGAGATGATGTTACGACCGACGAGCACGTCACAGACAACGACATCGAAAAATGGCTCGATGCGAATGGAACCGTCAGTTTGGAATCAATCACTCTAGACGAACTCGAGGCTGCCATCAAAGCATCCGTTCGAATCAACGTACACGAGAAAGACCCAGAGCTGCGAATCAAGTCCCTTTTTATAGAGTATCGCACCTTTCTCAGAACCAAGAAGTGGGACAGCTTGATCGAAAAAACCCCAAGCTCGCCATTTCACAAGTTTGTTCCTTACTCAAACCCCATGCTCCTCGTGAAAAAATCGAGTCAGACTTGACCTTGGATAAGCATCACATACGAAAGCAATGGAGGCCCTTCTGTAAGCATGTCATAGAAGAAGTGTGGTATAACTACCTTCGTCCCGACCACTCGGAACGAGGGGAGTTAGAGGTAAGGGAGCGTGCGCCGCTGGGTAACCCATGCGAGCGCAAACCGTACGGAAGGACTCGAAAAGAGGGAAGGCTCACGTGGCCGGTGACGCGCAGCCGGTCGGTGGTGTTAGATCCGGACGGCCAGTCACGGGTTAGAAGCCTGAGACTTAGAGGTAAAACCGGACGGAGTTAGCAAAAAGCTGTAAAGGGAAGGGAGGCGAGTCTGCCCCCGTTTACTAGAACGGGGCAGGTGCCCCCGGTCATAACCTCTAAGTGGGACGCCACGACACCTGTCGCGCTACAGTAGCTGTTACTTAATGTATACCAGCTACTGTACACAATTAATAAATTTGTGCCATTAACTACTAATTATTACTTACAACCGTACGGATTACACACGTGTGACCGTGGCCACGCCAGCGGTTGTAGCACGTGTGACCGGCGGGGTACTACTGTACTCCGCTACGGGCGCGTGTAAGCCCGGTCGTCACAGTAGCACCTGCTCTTCCGTCCGGTTCACATCTCCCCGGGGTGGTCGTGGTACGCAATTGTACTACAAGAAGCACTTTCTCGTGACAAATATGTGCCCATAAGGAATGAAAGTTTTAAACCAAAGTGTATGGATACAGAAAAGAACAAGGAAAAGACTAAGCCAGACCATCTCAGAGTTAAAAGCGCCACTGGTCGTTCGACACCTGGACCATCTTGGAACAAAGAGAGGGGCAACGATGCAGAAAAAGATATTTTACAGGGACGCAAACTTCCTCTGTGTCTGAACCGTGCAAAGTGCAACAAGCGACATATAATGAAAGACTGTGACGTGTCTACCAATGAAGAAAAAGCCACCCTCCTACGACAGCATTACGAGAAAAAAGCAGCGGGCAAGGGAACGATAAGATCCATGTCTCCCGCCAAGTGTCCTCTTGAATCGGGCCGTTTTCTCGGCAAGCTCGCTGACGCCGTCAAAATTGTCGTTAACGGTGATTACGGGGCAGACCACTCTGCTCTCTCGGAGTGGCATCTTTGGCAGTGCGCGGAAAATAATGTTTTCGTACAAGTTATTCCACTTTCCAGCCCGGTACAAATGTCTCTCGCTCTGGGTGCACGTGACGAGGAACAAGAAATTTTCTACATAGCGAAGAAGAAGGCTCGAATCTCCATAAGGATTGAACTACCCACCGCACCGCTCAGGCTCTGCAATGTGTAATTCTTAGTGTTCGAAGAATCAATGGACGAAGTGTTGCTTTCCCGACCGCTTCTCAATTCTCTCGGATTTAATCTGGACCACCATTTCGAAACGGTACGGGACACATTCCATGATACTGACTTCTCTCACATTGGATTTCACGCAACAGATACAGACAACGCCGCACTCGCCAAACCATCTCCCATTGCCAAACTGCTTCTCAACCGAGCACACCCTCACATCGACGCATACACGAGAGACGATGAACCCCCTGATACGAAATACTCCAACGACGACGAGCCTCAAGAACAAGTTAGTCATGTTTACCAAAGCCCTGAAGTTCCCTCACCCCTCTTTTACGGCGACGGCCCCGATGACGACCCACTGCGTGCTGACGATGATCTGTCACCCGGACAAGATATTCCCGAGGAAACATCGCAGCATTTGCAAGATCGTCTACAAGAAGCATTCGACAACGGACTTCCAGAAGAACTTCACGGCCAAATGCGCAGTTTGTTACTAGAATTTCGCGATCTGTTCAGAACTAAACTGGGTGCCGACCCTCCGGCTAACGTAACGCCAAGGACCATCAACCTCAAACCGGACGCAAACCGATCCGCGCAAAACTGCGCCGTTATTCCTCTCCGCAAGCAGCGTTCTTGCGAAAGAAGGTCGAAGACCTTCTCCAGCTCGGACTGATACGGCGGAACAATCAAAGTCAGTGAGCATGCGCCCCACTGTTGGTACCCAAGGCAGGACCCGAACCGTTTCGTTTTACCGTCGACCTCCGTCCTGTCAACCACCCGACGGTGCCTTTCATTTGGCCCATGCCCAACTTGGAAACTGCCGTTGCCAACCTTGCCGGAGACACATGCTACGCTTGCATTAATCTATGCCATGGCTACTGGCAAATGCCTCTGGACCAGAACTCGCAAGAGTGCCAATCTTTCATCACCCCCGATGGCGTTTACACCCCAACCAGGGTACTTCACGGACAAACCAATGCTACATTCTACTTCCAAAGCACTATCAGCGAACTATGCATTCCGCTCAGGGAGCGTTTGCTACAGTGGCTCGACGACCTTCTCTTCCACTGCCGGAAGGCTCGAGACCTCGTGGACTGCCTTCGCCGGGTTTTCGTCATCTGCAAGCGCAACAACATTAAGCTACACGCAGCTAAATGTAGTTTTTTCCTCACATCTGTTCATTGGTGCGGGCGTGTCATTAGCGCCACTGGCATAAGAATGGATCCGCGACACCTGCAGGGGTTGCTGGATATGCCGCCCCCCGAGACGGGCGCGGACCTACAACAGTTTGTGTGTGCAGCAAACTGGATGGGCAATGTCATTCCAGAGTTCAACCAACGCATAATCCCCCTCACTACTTTGCTAGAAAAATTCCGCTCAGAAGCCGGCAGACGAACTAAGCGAGCTGCTGCAAAAATTCCCTTGCTTCAAACTGGAATATCTCGCATTCTCGATCTTTCGAAGATATCAAAGAGTCCTTGGCCGACTCCGTCACGCTCGCGCACCCATCAGACAGCAAGCTGCTGTGCCTTTTCACAGACGCGAGCGACCAACACTGGAGCTCTGTTCTCACGCAAATCCCTCCCCGAGATGCCAACGAATCCTTCGAATCCCAACGCCACGAGCCATAAGCTTTCCTTTCCGGTTCTTTTAAGGGGTCAAGCGCCCGATGGCCAACCCCCGAAAAAGAAGCTTACGCCATAGCGGAATCAGTCTCACGCTTGGATTACGTTCTCCTTCGCGCCAATGGATTCCACCTTTTCACTGAACCATAAGAACTCGGTTTTTATCTTCAATCCGATGGCCGTCAATTCCACCATACAGAAACACGTCGCTAGCAAGATCGAACGCTAGAGCATTGCCCTCGCAGCATTACGCTATACCATCGTTCACATCTCTGGTGAAGAGAACTGCTGAGCCGATCTGCTCTCTCGATGGGGAGCCAAACCTACCAGCGAACAAACCGTCATCTCTAACGGTCGCAACGCGGCCTTGTTCAAAGCGCCCATCGCGCCCGAGCTCGACCCAGATTTTACGTGGCCATCTGGCACCGAAATCCTCCAAGCGCAGCAAGAAGCGCTCCTGGACCAAACCCCTCCCCGAAACGCTACCGAAAAGAATGGACTGTTGGTCAATGAAAAGAAAGCCATTTGGATTCCCTCTTCAGCAAAAGGCCAACGCCCTCAGCTTCGTATGTGTGTCATTGGACACTGCGGCCGTGGCGGACACCGAGGCTCTGACACTACATTGGGCAACATCAAGGAATATTTCTTCTGGGAAAAGATGAGTGCAGACGTTCACAGTTTCTGCAACAGCTGCCTTCATTGTCTTTCCACAGTAGGCGGCTACCATATGCTAAGACCGTTAGCGCATACCCTTCACGCTGATTTGCCCAACCAACTGCGTCACCTCGACTTCCTATTTATGGGAGCAAGCAACACCAAAACCGAATATGTCATTATTCTCAAGGACGACGCCTCCTCTTTCATCAAACTTGTGCCATGCGCTTCAGCTGACGCTACGCACACCGTCGACGCACTTCTATATTGGTTCTCCTTGTTTGGCGTTGTCTTGACATGGTGTTCTGACCGCGGATCCCACTTCAAGAACATGGTAATGGATTGTTTGAACAAGGCATTGCATGCGCATCACCACTTTACCACGGCGCACTGCCCTTAATCCAACGGACCTGTCGAAGTGGTTTGTAAGGAAGTCCTCCGCGCTTGTCGGGCACTGCTCTCAGAATTTCGGCTAACTGCCAAGGAATGGCCTACTGCATTACCGTTACTGCAAAGCATTCTTAACCACTCCGTCCGCACAACCCTCGGTAATCGCGCACCGATCACTGCATTCACTGGACTACCGGCGGACAATCCACTCCGAACCATTCTATCCCCAGACACTCCCACACCCGCCACGATCGATTTCATTCGCGCACAGCGCCTCATCCGAATCGATACTCTCAACAAAGTTTTAGACGAAATGCACCGCGATATTTCCGTTCGCAAGATAAAGGCGAGGCAAGCGGCTATAGATCGCCACAACGCTCTCACCCACGTCAAAGCTGTCAATTTCGAAATTTGTGACTTTGTACTCGTGGCTAAACGCCACAGTCGCGAGGGAAATAAGCTGCAAGTCATCTGGAAAGGGCCACGACGAATCACTCGAGCCGTTTCCGACCTCGTATATGAATGCGAACATCTCATCAATGGCTCACATGCGCTCTTCCGTGCCAACCGCCTCAAGCTTTACGCTGATTCTAGCTTGGACGTAACCGAAGTGTTACTTGATGCCATTGACCACAACGATCCTCATCTCAACAAAGTAGAACAACTTCTTGCGCTACTCCTTAACAGTGATACAAAACTGTACGAAGTCCAGGCGAAATGGAAAGGTTTCGACTATGAAGAGCTCACTTGGGAACCGCTGGACACCATGCACGAGGACATTCCAGTTCTTCTTGACAATTTCCTGGCCGTTCATCCCAACCAGAAACTAGTCGCCTCCGCCAGCGCAACACTGCCTCGCTAGACCTGCACTACGTCTTCGGAAGAAGAGGAATGTTACGCATTCTTTGCGCCACTGCATAAAGCCGCAAGGATAATGGCACCCAGCACGGACCATGAAAGGCAGTACCCCTTTTTAGTAGAACCTCTTTTTAGTGGTATTTCATGGCGAGGCTAAGACTCTCGTTCTCTTAAGTTTCGTGGCTACTACTTAAGCCCCTCTTCTGACAGTAAAGCTGGGCAAGGAATCTCACCTTCACCCCACACAAAACCCAGTCACTCCACCAACAAGTGCAACAGCCCCTCATCAGTTCATCTCATGTTCGGTTCACGATTGTTAGACTTAGACTGCGAAAGGACATCAACCCCGCTTCGAGTGGTCTGCTGTTGTGCTGGGTGAGTTGCTGGCAAACCCCTCCTGATATGTAGAAACAAGATCGGTAATTTGCACGGTTGTCGCGTGTTTTGTTGTAGTGCACATTTATAATGCGAGTATTTGCAAGGTAGTTTTGCAAGTCTACGAAAGGGTATGCACGCAATACAGTATAGTAGTTCCGGATAAGGCAATTGCAATTGATATATGCCCGTGAACCTACATTGTTTGCACAAATATATTTTTTCTGGCCACGTCATTGATGCCGTCAATTTACACAATCGCATTGCCACATCATACGCCAGACGGGAGCAGCGATTCTAAAAATACACTCGTCATCTGTTTGCTTTTCCTTTCTCTGAGATAACGTATGGAATTGCCTTTGTAAGATAAAGAGGTCTGAGGGGTGCAGAGATTTGGCTGACGATGAAACACAATTGCAAAGAGGGCGTTGTAATGCACTCCTCTAATTTGCAATGTAGTTTGTTGCCTTTCTACCGAGGGCCTTGAAGTGCTTAGCGAGCCCTCCTTTCGCGATATAGTTTTGGACGGTATGTTTACTATGCAACAAATTTTTGTACGTTTTATGGTCTCATGAGCCTTCACGAAGGCATCTATATGATACATACGGTAGTCACCGTGCTGTGTGTTCAACAGGCAACACAGCCCATAACCCCTTCGCTCGTTCTAATAGTATTATGAACAGAGTCTTGCCTAAGGGTGGACTTGAGAGTTCTACAGTTTTACTTTTCTCAGCAACAGTCTTTACGACCATGATGTCTTACAGAACCTCACCACAAAAAACATTCGTGCTGCACTAATGGTGCATTTCGAGATCGTCCTTCGACATGTGCGCTGAACGTAGAAAGTTCAGCATGTGAATTGTGATCCGGTCTTGAAACAGAGGCGTTGATTGTGACATGACGCCATGCCATTAATCATTCATCTAGGATGGAGGCACGACTAGGGGCTCTGTTGCCTACGAGATTGTAATATATTTTCTGCGCAAGAATTTTCTATATCCTAAAGGGAGCATCACGTAGCCCTTCTGTCCAGTTTAAGAATAGAAGCTCATCCTTTTCAAGGTTCCCGTGCCGAAACAGTGTTCCCTTTCTTATCAACCGAAGCGATGTCTCTCCGAAGCCACAAGGATTTCCCTCCGTTGCTTCTCGCCGAACCTCACCCTACTTGCGACTGTGTTCTTTCTGTAACTATAAGGAAGCATCCGGAAGGTAGGATAGAATACTATCGTATTAAGAAGAAATGCTTCAACACCCAGTGCGATTTTGACGGAGTGGAAGTGTACGAAATCATTGGCCGATATGTCGTCAGAGAGACAGGTCGAGCTGCTCACAACTAGGCTTTATGTGGGCCTCCGTGAACCCCGCATGACTTGGTTCCGTGTCGCACTCTGTCATGTGCGCTGTAGGAATTGGCTTTTGGTTGCTTGATTGATATGATCTGAAGTTTCGACCGCAGTGCTTGGAACAAAAGGCGCTATCATACACTTGAAATCGGCAAGAGTGCCTCAACTGGCAGGCTTGCTGGCAGTCAAGCCCATTGGCAATGCCCCTCTTCGTCTGCAGCGTTCGCCCTGATCGCATCAATGTGCCCCAAGCTTCAGCAAAGTAGTACAGGGCTTCGTTCCGCGTCACGGTGACCTCGCAGGTTTTTCAAGTATGCATTCAAGCATTCGCATGCGGGGCAGGGCGACAAGTCGTGAGAGTAAGGACAGAGAATCAGGTCGGATATGCTTCGCCAAACTGTGATGGTTCCTATCTATGGTTCTTGGGGGGATCATTATCCCGTGCAGCGCTTTTCTGTCGGCGAGAGTACGGCATGTCCATTGGACCGCGTGCTTGTTTTCAAAAGTGCTTTGTGAGAAATACCTTGCAGAAAATCAGTGCATCTCTTGCCAATTTGTGACCGGCGGTCCGGGTTTCTGTATGCAGAACCCGCATATGCGGTTAGTCTGACTGAGCTTCTTCGCTACCGTAACTCAAAATACAGTAGACCGGGAAACTGGATAGATTTAATACAAGAGAAAATGTCTTACGTGCCCCCTTTTATTTGGGAATTTTTGTTACGTGCCCCTTTTATAAGCCCCTTTATATATAAGCCCCTTTCCTTGGGGGCGCTCTAGAGTGATGAAAAGGTGAAGAGGGCGTCGTCGGAATGAGTTTGATCAAAGGGAGCACGTTCCCTGACAAGCACAGCATCTTGATGGCATCCATAGCCCTGTGCGCCACCGTGGGCCGATCTCACAAGGTAAAAAAGTCAGACCCTGGGCGCCTGCGTATAAAGTGCCCCTCCCAGGAGTGCTCATACATTGTCAACGCTCAACCAGACCACAGGGCAAACAACGGCTTGTGGAGAGTGGGAAAACTCAATCTCGCTCACTCCTGCGACGCAATAAAGGGGGAAACGAAAGCGCAAGCCCCTAGCCGTGTGCTAGTGTTTGATAAGGGAGGCGCGGAGGAGTAAGCGGGACGAGGGGGACAGAGTACCCGGCGCTTCAGGTACTCCGCGCCTCCCTTTGGCCCTCGGAATCACCTCCCTTGCGCCCTTCTTCCCTTCGCGACCTTCCCGCCATTTTCCTTCGCGACCTCCCCATCATTTCCCTTCATCCTTCCAAGCGCTCGCTAATCCGTCGCTGGCCCACGCACGGTCTATGATCATGAATCATGCCCAGGGGGCATGCCTTTCCCTTGGCAGTGAATGCCGCCCATTTCCAAAATAGAAATCGTCCGCCACGTGTGCGCATGGACAACAAATTTCTGGATGGACCCAGTATTAAAAAGGGAAAATCCTTAATTAAAAAGGGCTACTAGCCCTTTTTAACTAAGGGAAAATCGAGTAATTTACTGACGTGCATCTGGCACAGGTGGCGCCAGAATTCCGGCAGAGTTTTGTCTCACAGCTTGCAGGTGGCAGATCACGAATTTCTGAATGCGCCCGTTGTTAAGTTGACAATGCCCCGCGGCTGCGGCCTCCTACGACAGGATCCCGGCTTCTCAGGTCCCCACCACGACGGGATCGGAGGCAAGCTTTCCTTCTCACTCTCGTGCGCTCTCTCCAGCCCTTTTCCCATGCCCCCGACGAGCTAGTTGGTTTTGCGTGGGGGCTGGAGAGGGAAAAAGTGTGTGGGACCTGGGGATGACGGCGGCGAGAGGGAGTGCGCTAGGCAGGTTGTGGGAGGGGGAGAACTCGTCTCCGAGGGCCCACTATTGCTATCTTTCAGTCTGAATGGGCTCACATTTACTGAAAAGGCGTTGGTCTACCGCTCATACGTCTGCTACCGCTCATATGTCTGCCACGTTTTAGTTAAGTTGTCTTCACACCTTGCAGATGCACTCGTCGCCTCTTATAACGAATCTTTCCGAGCTCGAGGCTCGGAATGACAAGCATAAAGTAGTGGCACGATGGTTAACTTGTTCAAACCACACCGGGTCGAGAGGATCTCGGGTGGCCAGTGTCAAGGCTGCCTCGCCTCCCATACGCCCGTCGGAAATCTAGTGTAGGTAGTTGTCATCATGGTTCCCTGTGTCCACACCATGCAAATCATGAGCGTGCACTCAACACTCGTAATTTGCTCTCTACAATTCCTGCATGATGCGATCCCAACAACTGTACGCCCGGAATCTTCTTGTGACGTCTTACCTCGCCATAGTATTATGCACCGCGGTGCCTGGTTACCAGCTCCGTGCTCTGCATGGTTCAAAGCAGCCGGCCATTTCTCTCTGGTAGAGAGACTGTACTACTCGTCCAGATACATCCAGAGTGCCCCGTATGCAAATGCAACAGCCCCTCCGCGCCATTTACGTACAATATGACTACGGTGCCCAAGCCTTGTGCCGACCAGCCTTCAGTTGGCGCAAAGCTTCAAAATTTGCTCGTAAGTGATAAACGTAACCGCTGCCTGGGGGGTAACTCTAATAACGTTTGCCGAAAGTCCTCGATACAAACCCCTAATCCCCTCTGTCCGAAATATGTACATGAAGGCGGTGTGAAAGTTGCCATACCTCCTGCCGTCGGCAAACCGCTCCTGCATACGGGTCCTTGCTACTTGCAACGGATACGTGGCGAGCGAGGCGACGAGCTTGGACCCTGTGGACGCGATGAGGGAGTGGAAAACTGTGGTGCCCGATTGTGGGTCTGCGTCCTGGCGCAAACGTTCCTTAAACCGCTCATACATGGTAAATTGGACGGCGCCGTGTGACACGAGCCACACGCTGGGTCCGATGCCGCGATACAAGCCGCGCACTCCCTCCTCCCTGGTGATGCTCTTGAGCCCGTCGAAAAAGCCAGAGTACGGCTTGAATCCTGGGGCGACAGATTTGCCCGTGCGCTGCAACTGCAAGCGAACCTTGACGACCCAGATTGGGTTGGTGGCGAAGCTGGTCATGAGCCCCGCTATGGTGCCGGCGAGCAAATGCGAGCCCGTCTCATGGGTGATGGCGGGCTTGACGATTGTGCGGGCGCGCTGGAACCAATGAAAGTAGCAGGCCCAGGACAAGACGGAGCCGAAGGCAGCGGGGACAACTCCGCGGTAGAGGGCCGGGGCTCCCTCCCGAACGAGGATCTCCTTAAAGGCGCGGACGGCGTCGCCGCGGCGCGCGAGGACGGCGCGGCGCTCGACGGATTGCAGACGGGTGCGGAGGGTGTCGAGCGGGTGGAGCAAGGTGACGGTGGCTAGGCCGCCGCCCGCGCCGGCCAGGGCGTGAGCGTAGGGCGGGTAGACCGGACCTGCGGCGGCGGCGATGGAGACCGGGGCCGGAACAGCGGTGGCAGAGGCGTCCGGTGTGGCGGCGGCGGGCGAGGTGGCGTCGACGAGCGGGGTTGTGGACGGCATTGGGGGAAAGGGTGTGCGGGTTAGGATGGGCGGGTGGGGAGCCGAACGCGGCCCATTTGCGGGGCGGCGGGCGGACGACAAATCGGGTGCAATGCCAGACGGGGCGGAACAAAGAGGACGGCGTTCTGGGGCCCGGGCAACGGAGGCAGGGAGGAAACGGTTTTCCTGCTGCCGGTGAAAAAAGAGGTGACGACGTCGGTGAGTGATTGAGAACGTTGGTGAGAGGGGAATCGAAAAAGCTTCATAAATTTACGCTGCAAACCACACATCCTCGCAAATCCGCACACATCCCAACGCGATCGGCCAACTGCCACTTT